CTCATGGGGCTTGAACTCTGGGCCTGGGCGCTATCCCTCAGCTCTTGAGCTCAAGGCCAGTGCTCTACCACCTGAGCCACAGCACCACTTCCAGCTTTTCCTGTTTATGTGGTGCTGAGGAATCAAACCCAGAGTCTCATGCGTGGGAAGCAAACACTCTACCACTGAGCCACCTTCCCAGCCCACAAAGGCTTTTTTAGTGTACTATATTCCCTGTTGTCACTGTTTTGATCTCTGCACCCTTTTCTTGTATATAAGTTTATCTTATTTGGGAAAGGGAGGAAGAATCAAAGAAAAAGGTGGAACAAATGGTGAACCAGTGCAACAGTGATATTCACTAGACACTATATTGGAAATAAACTTTACTTGGTGGGGAGAGGTGTCGGGGGAAAGTGGGGAACTGGGAGAAAATGAGGGAGGGGTAGCACTGCTCAAAAAGAAATGTACTCATTACCTTAATTATGTAACTGTAACCCCTCTGTATATCATCTTTACAATAAAAAAATAAAAAGGGGCCTCAGTTTGACATTTGCATTTTTAGGAGATTAAAATTACAGTGGTGCCTATTTGCTAACTTACATAATAGGCTAATTTGAAAACTGAGTGCTCCTATACCTGTCACAGGCTCAGAGGCTTATTCACTATGATTATTTCTAATATATGTATAAGTATAATAGGTAGCACATATTAATGCATCATATATTTCTTTCATATGTACCATAAACTAGGAATTTCATATTTTGAATTTTGATTTAAAATCTATAATTCATTGAAATAATGTGAATCATACACATACACTGTGAAATGCAGTTGTTAATGAAAACAGCTCTATTCCGAGTGAGTAAAATCTCTAGGTCATCTTTTCATGTGAACATAAAGGACAAACATTTTTCAATAAGTAATTTTAGGTGTCTTCTGCAAGTTGCAAAGTCTGACTTAGGTCTCTCTGAAGGATTCACTGCTTGCCCTCTACCTTCCTATAGTGAAATTCCACTCCATCCATAATCTACAGTGTCTGTCTTCTGGGTGGGATACATCACTAGCTTCTGACTGCAGAGCCGGCCCTCTTTAACCAAGCCTAGTAACAGAGAGATGACTAGGAAACAGAGGAGGAAGCTCCTTAAGTCTTCTTGGAAGCTTTATTAGAATGGCTGCATTAATAGATTCTAAGAATGAAACTGGAAATTACCCTGTGAACATTGTATTTGGTAATGTGCTACTGTGGAAACAACAAGACTTCTCAGATAACAAAGAATCTGAACAATCTTTGGAGGTTGAAAAGCTTTTATAAAATATTTATTTCTAAGGAACAATACAACAATTTTATTTTTAAAAATTATAGCTTTCTTAGATGTCAGTGCCTCATACCTGTAATCCTAGTTATTCAGGAGATATATCTGAGGATTGCAGTTCAAAGCCAACCCACACAGGACAATCCATGAGATGCATATCTCTAATTAACCCCCTAAAGCCAGAATTGGAGCCATGGTTCAGATGGTACAGTAAAAGTGGTAGCCTTGAGCAAAAAAATCTCAGGGACAGGGACCAGGTCCTGAGTTCAATCCCCAGGACTGGCACCCAAACATACAAAACTGACAACAACAAAAACCCACAGAGATTTATTGTTTCCAACTGTTTGTCAACAATTGAGTGGTAGATTAATTCTAATCTACTATAGATTGGACAGGGGCGTGAAGGATTAGAGCTACAATTCATAGGTTAAAAGTTTCTCTTGTGTAGAATCATTAAGTTTTCTACACCAAAACTGGGTTGAGCATCATCTGGAAGAAGTTAATTGCTCTAAGAGTACATTTCTAGCATTAATTTGTTCTGGTTTACCTATATCTTTCTACCCACAACTTGAAGTATGACATCATTATTGTTGAATACATAAGTATTTTAATTCCTTTTCCTATGGCTATGAAGTTCTTGAATCGCTTCTAGGGAAAAGACGATGAACAAATCCAAGAATCTCTTATCCAACATCTCTACCTTTATTCTTTGAGGTTATCTGACTAGAAAGCAAAGTAAGCATTATATATACCATAGTTCTAATTATTCCTAACATGCATTCAATTCAGCCACTTTGGTGACAGTATATTCTTTGGCATTGGAGAGGCAAAACTCTAAACATCCTGATATTCTGCAAGTCTGGCCTTTGAGGGAACTTTAAAACCAAGATATGCCTCTCCTATGATACCATGAAAGTTGTTTTGACTTATAGGCTCTGCCCATGGAGGGGAAAAAAACCCTCTGCCTGGAACACCATCCATGTGTTCTCTCTGTCCTTGCAATGTCAAGCTCATAGTCTGGCCTAGGGTACTCCCTCTTTGTGGATAGTATATGGCTTTGTGTCTATTGAGAGGAAGCACAAGACATGCCTCTGGAAGCCCTACTGCTTTGATACACTCCAAACAGTGATGTAGTTGGATCCTTTCTTAAAATCTGATTCTGTACACATTCAAAGAATGGGCTATTGGGGTGTCTGAATGAGCTCCTAAGAGACAAGAAGGGAGTATAAACAGTCTGTCATTCTGAAACTAACCTGACTTTGCTGAGCTGCCCTTACAAGGAAAGCCACAAGGAATTATTTTCCTGTAAAGTCCTCTTTACACTAAATAGACTCGTTCTAAGAACTGTATATTCAAATGGCCACAATCTCCTTCAACAAGGGGAAAATGTACATATCAAATCTAAGTCACAATGAAAAACTTGATGCCTGGGGAAAAGAGAATAACTTTTACAAGGTCTTTACTATTGTGTGTTTCCAGTTAAATTTTAATGTTGAAAGTTAATGACTAATCACCGTTAATAATCAAATATGTGAAGTGGATTTGGTTACTTTGAGTGAGTTAAGTCTGCTTTCCTTAAGTGTGTGTCTTAGTAGCCATTTAAAAATTGTGGTCAATAAACTAGCAATGAATTATTTTCTATGTAATGTCCACATGGGGTTAATAGACATCCATAGAGATGACATTCTATTTATTGTTAATAAATAATAATAAATAAATAATATTCTATTATTTAGTTCAGAGATCTGCTTTTTAATAGACTGTAGCTAAGAGATTTCAGAATACTTAACTAGTTTCCCTGACTCATTTTGTTAGCAAATGAGAAAGAATACTTTCTACATACTTTATACAGAGCTCAGCATAAGAAAACACTCACAAGAAGTTCATATTTCTGTCTCCTTTCCTGCACCATCACCAGTACTAACTAACTGGTTTATCAATCCAGAATCGCTTCAGTGTCTCTCCTAGCAGAGAGAGAGAAAGAGCTCTCTGCAGGTCTGAGGAGAGGAGATAATCCTAGGCTTCCTTGCCCTTCCTCAATCCCCTTGCCTGTGTTTGGAAAGTAAGATGGAGATAAATTCTTCAAACATCATGATCATAATGCCTCTGAGTCTAATGATGTGGCAATTAAAAGAGAATTAAACATAATTTGTGTTTTCTGAATAAATATCTACTCATGAGAAAATGATGAGGATCAAAAAGCATGCTGGTTGAGAAAGAACAGGAAGTGAACATGCTATGAAATATTTTTCTAAAATCATTATCATAATAAGCAAATCATCACTAAACAGAAAGCAATTAGCAGATACTATCATTTTGCACATACATTATACATATCGTATATTGATGGCATAGTATTTCCCACAAAAACTTTTGGGATCTGAAGGCTTTTTAGTTATGATCAAAGATCATCACTTTTGAAATATCAAAATGTTAAATCATCAGAGATATCCAAAGTCAAAAATCATGTTTATGATTCTCTGGCACAACCAGGGTTTGTATGAAAGAATCACCAACACTTTTGGTGGGGTCTAGGGCAGTGGTACTCAGAAGACAATATGTTGGAAATAATCTGTACAAGTTGGGAGGGGGTTGGGGGAGGGAAAGTGGGAGAAAAATAAGGGAGGGGGTAACAAGTTCAACAAGAAATGTACTCACTACCTTACCTATGTAACTGTAACCCCGATGTACATTACCTTGATAATAAAATTAAAACTTTTTAAAAAAGCAAATGAGGCATATGGTGTATAATAAAGGAATAAAGTAAGGAACCAACTATGTATCAAGAAAATCAAATATGAAAACAAATCACTAATCCAAGTGAAGGCCTGTGATATTGTGAAATATATATTTGATCTCTCTCTCCTAAAAATACCTTAAAAATCTCTGGACTCTCTAGAGTAATGAGTACCTATCTACGTGATTGCAATTGGCTGGTGGCTAGCAACTCTGGTGTGGTTTCAGGACAGGACATGGCAGGATCCAAGGGTTGGAATTTTCTGCTTCACCCTTCACCTCCAGAGAGGGAGACAGGTTGCAGGTTAAATTGATTGACCATGGTCAATAAGATAGTGAATCATGCCTATGTAATGAAGCCTCCATAAGAACCACACGCAACAAAGAACAGGGCTCATAGAGCATCTGGATAGCCAAGCATGTGGAGTGCTTGAGGATAATGTTACTGGAAACACAGAAAAGTACCATGCCTCATCCCACATGCCTTTTCTGGTTCACCTATGCATCTGATCCTTTGCAATATCCCTCTTATTAAGCCAGCAGATCAAAATAAATGGACCTCTGAGTTCTTAAGAGCTGTTCAGCAAACAGGAGACAATGGGAACCCCAATATATAGTCTGTGGGTCAGAAACACAGGTAAACCCACCTGCATCATCTTAGATCTGGCATCAGAAGTGGAGTGGGGTGAATACTAGCCTTCAACCTATGGGATCTCAGGTGATCTTCAGGTAGATAAACAGCAGAGCTGGTTTGAATTAAAGAAAAAACAGCTGGTGTTCACTACCGAAACTTTTCCTTTCTTGCTGTCTGAGAAAAGTACCCTTGGCATGAGAAGCCTGGTGTGAATGCAATATCAAACCAAATGAGTTTGGTGGGTTATTTGCTCTACATCCTTGAGGGGAGTCTTCTAAAATGCAGGATTATGCAGGCCTCAACACACTGCAATGATGTACCCTGAACATATCACTCACCACTGTGACTGCATCATTCAGCAGAGACTCGCCAAAGACCAGGATATAGAGCTGTTCGTTGACATGGATGTTCTCAAAGACAGCAAGGACAGCCACGGGATCCACGGCTGAGATCAAGCTGCCAAAAAGTAGGTTCTGGAGCAGAGTGATGTCACTGAGGCCAAACGCTTCAATCTGGCAGATGCCAAACAAAGACACCCCAATGCCAATGGAATTCCAAAGGGTCCCTACCACCGCATACCAGAAAATAGTGCCAATGTTCTCAAAGAAGGGGCGAGTGGGCATGAAATAGCCAGCATCAAGCACGATGGGTGGCAGAAGGTATAAGAAAAACACATCAGTCTTCATTGCCGGGGGAGATTTTTCATCAACACCAAAAATAATCCCACCCAGTAGGAGTCCAACCATTATAAGAAGGCAGCTCTCAGGCACGATTGTGGGCAACTTGTGGTAGAGATGAAAGCCTGTAAAAAATTAAAGACATAAAAATACGGGTTATGGGAGAGTCCTGGAGAACATGGAATCAATGTGTCTAATTTTACATCTCCAAGGTCAGTATAATTGGCTACAGACTGGCTATAGACTGGCATTCTAAAGTAAAACATAAATTAATACGCACAAACCATTCACGTTTATTTAGGTGTACATAACACATATGTACTTAGACACAATTTAAACTTTAAATCAGAATTTCCTCCTCAGAAAGGCTCTAACAAGTAAGCACAGCAGTTATTTTCACAACCTAAAATTTCAGTGGCACCCAAATCTCTACAGTCCTCCCAAGATCTTCAAGGCCCAAGTCAACTTTGGGCTTACCACTGTTAGTTCTTATGTCAATAAAAACCAGTCGCTTATTTTTCACTTCAAATTCCTTCAGATGGAATACTGAATATGTTCACGTTTTAAGATGTGTATACCTTCAGAGACAAATAAATAAATTCATCAAAATGAACTAAGCAACTACTTCATTCGGTTATAAAAATGCACGACCTCGAATCTCAAAGTTCCCAGTTGAGTAGAAGAATGGATTCATTTGCCACTTATTCCAATACAAAGCAAAGTGGGATCAAGCCCCAAATAAGAGCTATGAGAATGCAGAGAAGACTCAGTGGAAGAGGCATTACATTTGCAGAGAAGAATGACCCTTCTCATAATGTATGAAAGAGAAGGAAGTATCTCTTCCAATTCATAGTGGAGGCCAATATGGCCTTTGAATACATAAGAGAACACAGAAGAGGCAGCCTACAGCTGGAAAAGAGTAGAGCCATGTAGGCTGGGCCAGTTCATGGAAAGTGATGTAACCCACAGAGGTAACTTGACAAGGCTTGACGAGAATTCATATTTGCAAATCAACAAGTCATCATGAGACATTTAGTACATTTTAGAATTAAGACAGAATGTGAGGATGCTGGTATGTTTGGAATGAGTCCCACCAGAATCCCAGTGTGCTAGTAGGAAGAGATGGGGACTTTAGAGGTGGTTCCTTCCTCATGAGAGGCCTTAAACCACTTTAAATGAAGCTTCCTGCAGTGTCTGCTTGCCCTTGTTTGCCCTTCTGCTATGTGAGGACACCGAAAAAAGCCATGTACCTTGAAATTGGTCTTGTAGCTTCCAGAACTGAGAAAACAAACACTTTTCTTTACACCATCTGGAAGACACTGTTACAGCAGCACAAAGCCCTTAGGCAGAAGTGTCTCTGAACTATAGGATGATCATATCAAAATGGTAAAATAGGTCCTTAGAAATTTAAAATTGCAAAAGTTTTAGTAAGCACACCCTAATTGCAAACAGAACTAAAGCCACAGCATGAAGTATTTTATGAGTAGAGGCAATGTGATCATTATAATTTGAAGAGATTTAGAAAACTAATTTCTAAACAGTAAACATCTGTATGTAAAGTATTTAAACAACCCCTCCATTGCTTTTATTATTCTATTATTCATACTACAGCAGGCTGCAGAAATTGGTGGGGGATTAATGTATCCAATGGTCCAGCTGTTCTTTACCCATGACCCCCAGCGAGCCTCACTGTCCAATACAGAAATAAAAAGTTCTCTGAAAGTCAAATCTTTGTAATCTGCCCACATGCTGCCTCCTTTTACAGCTAACATTTCCTGTATGATAAGAACTTGCCAACAGCAGCCTCCCATTCTCCCAGGATTCAAGAACAATCACCTCCCTCTGAATCGGGGCCCCAGCATGAAGGTTTCCTGCCATGGTTCTTCCAAGGCTGCCATCTGACTAGAGCTTAAGCTTGCCACCCAACTCTGCTGCTCTCTCTGCCGAATCTGTGAGGTTTTAGCATTACTAAGCCCCACTTAGTCATCTGAAGTAGGGACAGGTGCTTGTCCAAGTAGAGCTATAATGATAAGAGGGTCATTTACTTCACAATGCTTGCCAGAGTGGCTGAAAACCATCACCAATGTCCTCAAACTTCAGATACCTTCCCCACTTCATAGGAAAAAGAAGATAAAAATCCTTGAATGTGCCAGGTGATGGTGGCTTATAGCTAGTAATCCTAGTTATACAGGAGGCTGAGATCTAAGGAGGATCATTGTTCAAAGCCAGCTTGAGCAGGAAAGTTCAGGAGACTCTTTGCTCTACTAAAGGTGTGGCTCAAATGGTAGGGCCCACCCTTGTGCACAAAAGCTAAGCCATGTGTCCAGTCCCCATACACAAGTCCCCATACACAAACATACAAACACATGTAAAAATCCTTGAAGTAAATACTCAGAATGAAGCCGGGCGCCGGTGGCTCATGCCTGTAATCCTAGCTACTCAGGAGACTGAGATCTGAGGATCACAGTTCAAAGCCAGCCCCGGTAGAAAAGTCAGAAAACTAATTAACCACCGGAAAACCAGAAGTGGCTCTGTGGTAGAGCGCTCGTCTTGAGCAGAAGAGCTCAGGGGCAGTGCCCAAGCCCAGAGTTCAAGCCCCATAGGGAAAAAAAAGAAATACATAGAATGAAAAGGATCCATTGAGACAAAGCAGTAAATGAGTAAGGCCTTTATTTAAGAGACCCTCACTTTCTCTTCTTGCCTTTTCATCAACTGAGCCTTAGAGACCCAAGACTTTCACTGATGTCTGTCACATGGGCTGTTGCTCCTCTCATTGTATAGAAAGGACTTTTTTTATTCCTTCGAGTTGAGGAGGGGAAAGTAAGTTGGGAGAAGAAAGATAGGACCAGAAAGAGACTGCTTCCATGTATCACTGAGGCTAATGCTTGCCACATTCCCACAACCTGCTTGATCCTGACCAGGAACCCCAGCCAGTGGGAAACAGTCATAGAGGAACAAATAGAATGCAGAGACAAGTAAAATGCAGAGTGCAAGTAGAAAGAAAGGTCACTGGGACAGATGGCCAAAGGGGAGTGGAGGAAGCGAGAAGGAAAACCTGGTAGTAAAATCAGGAGCAACAAAAACCTTCCTCCACCACACCAAGTATTTTGCAAAAGGGAAATCAACTTGTGTCATGATTTGCTTTTCCAGAATGATATACTTTCATTACTCTCAAGGAATGTGTAGCTGGGTACCAGTGGATGACACCTGTCATCCTAACTACTGAGAACTAAGGATCATGGTTTGAAGTCAGGTCACCAAGAGATCATAATGAAAGGAAGAGGTATAGCTGTGTTTCAATACAATTTATTTTTGTACATTGGACCTGGAATCCTTTACAAGTTCATTACACACAAAAATTCTTCTTGACATTTTATTTTAACCATTAAAAATATAAAAATTATCTTCAGGCCCTACCAAACCAAGCAGCAGGCCATATTTTGAAATCAACCTATATATGTATATAGTCTATCTACTCCTATATTTTCTATTATTTGATCTATTGTCAACTTTTGTTTATAGTGCTTGAGATATTGGATCGTGTCATTCAACTTTTATTACCAACACAAAAGTGTATATGAGGAGATAGGTGTAATATTTATTACTTTATTTGAACTGCAATAGAAATTCAGTAACCAGGGTACCAGGATCAAAGGTCTTTGACATAAAATATAAAGATAGCTTCTTTTAAAATGAATCTATAATTATTCTCTGCACACAAGTGTTGAAATTAACTGAGCTGAAAATACACAGATCTACATATAAATGATTTCAGTGAGATTAGCTCACCATATTTTTATATTATATGTACAACAACCTATTTGTCAAATTCTGAACAGAGTGCAGGAGAGAAATAACACAGGAAGCTTTCAGATAGCAGGATTCACAAAAAAGCAACAATGTAAAAATCAGAAGCAGAAAAAAAATCATCAATAACAAAAAACATTAAACATATCAGTTTTAAAAACAACAACAATGGAAACTCAAACTAAACAAGCCACAATTGTCCTTAGCACAAAGGCGAAGAGAAACTAGCTGGGGCTGGGGGGGAGGGGTGGGAAGGGCTGCTAGAGATAAAACTGTTAAGAGAAAATGTACTCTACTAGCTTTGTGTGATGGTAAATACAAAGGTTCTAATAAATGTTCATATTGTTTTATTTATTGTCTTGTTCTATACTTTTAAAGGCCTTGTTGAATAAATATCTATTAGATCAACAAATATTTGCCAAGCTCAGGTTACATAGAGGACAAGTACCCATGGGTACCCTATACACATGTGCGTGACCTTGGCTAGCTGACCCAGAACTGTCTCTGGGCTACTCATCCTCAAAGTTGTCTCCAGTATGGTCTAACAGAATTATATGTATAATGCTTATGGGATATATTAAACTGGGTGTTAAATAGTAAAAAGGAATAAACAATAAGCAATTGATTAATTTTATGCATCTCACATGATATGGCAACAAAATATGTGTCTTAAAAACAGAATGTAAATGCATAAATAGACAGACAGACATGGAGAAAACAGTAAGAAACAAACTTTAAGCAGATTTGCCAACAAGTTGCTATCAATATATGGTAACTCAGGCACATATTTCTGAAGGTAGAAGCACTTTGAATAAAAAATATTGAAAAAAGGGGCTGGGAAGGTGGCTCAGTGGTGGAGCGCTTGCCTTGCATGCCTGAGGCCCTGGGTTTGATTCCTCAGCACCACATAAGCAAAAAGAAAAAAGCCAGAAGTGGTGCTGTGGCTCAAGTGGTAGAGCACTAGCCTTGACCTGAACAGCTGAGGAACAGCGCCCAGGCCCAGAGTTCAGGCCCCACGACTAGACGCAAAAATAAATAAATAAATAAATATAAAAATAAATAAAAATATTGAAAATAAGTGAATGAATGTATAATACTCAAAACAGTTCAGCAAATAAGTGGAATTAGCAGATCTACATTAAAAATGTATTAACATGTGAGTATAGATTTGTCATAACACTTAGACATAGTCTAGCATTGAAACATTCATTTAACCATCATCCTGCCAAAGTAATACATCCATAAACATATACCCTTTAAAAACTGTACCTCTTAATAGGTTTGCAAGCAACTTAAAAAAATAAAATAAGCAAACACT